TCTACGTATGTTCTACCTTGTAGATTTTATCGTCAAACTGATGATTTTTTTATGCTTATTTATAAATAGAAAAATATTTTATAATATCTTCGGAATTTCAAACGTCATCCAACAAATTAGTCATTTATATCAATTGATTTCGAATCGAATCTATGCTCAAATGTTCACATAAAAAATGTACTCTAGATTTCTCCGTTGAGAAATGGTTTCTTCTGTGAAAATATTCCTCATTACAATTGTTATTTTTTAAACACATGTTACTGGAAACAAAAAATGTCTGTAATCGAAATATACGTTGATAGGTATTCAAGTTATTTCTATAGAGGATTTATTTTTATATGGAATGAATGGAGTAAGAAAGAGGGTGTGGGTGTGGGTGTGGGTGTGGGGATGTGGGTGAGTGTGGGTCTGGGTGTGTGATGTGGGTGTGGTTGGGTGTAGATGGGTGTGGGTGTGAATGTGGGTGTAGATGGTGTGGGGTGTGGGGTGTGGATGTGTTGTTGTGGGTTGGATGTGGATGTGTTGTTGTGGGTTGGATGTGGATGTGGGTGAGGGTGCGATGTGAGGGAGAGAATGTGAAGCGAGGGTTGTGGTGTGGGAGTGGGTGCAGCGTGAGGGTGTGAGTGTGGATGTGGACATATCATCGATCTATACCGGTGTCCACCAACACCCACACTGCTATAAAAATAAGAGCTATATGTATAGTAAAATCCTCATTACTACGACTGACAGTAATTAGTTGTATTTTATGTAGAAACAAAGTGTTCAGTAAATTCTTTTCTTATGACAAAAGATATCGTTTGTGTTGTCTTGTCGAAATAGGAAGACAACTTTTTTAATAGAGAATATTTATTATTGAGACACGAGAAACTCGAAATTTATTTTCTGTGAAAATCAAGTTGAAATTCTTGTTAAAACTTCAACATTAAATTCGACTTTTCTTCGTCTCTTTCTACCGAGTTTCAAATCCGAAATGAAAAAGAAACAAAAGTAAATATTTGTTGATCATTTTCAACCCGTGTCGATTTGATTTTAGATGAAAGGGTTTAATTTCTGAACGAGAAATTTTAATAATTGCTTATCGTAAGTGTTGTCAAGGAATGTTATTTCCCACTTTCATTCGATAATTAATGAGAGTTTTTTATGATTTGTTTTCAAAAATATAAAATAAAATTATAGAAAATGATTAAGTTGTCCTATTGTTGATGTTTGTTATTTCTTTGTTGACTAGATCATTGATAATGTCGAAATTTGCTTCAGATCATTTTTTTTTGCAAAATAAAAATTCCTTTATTGTGTTTGTCTCATATTGACAAGAATTTTTATCAAGAAAGATCAAATGTGTATCGACTTTGATAAGAGATTTTCGACTATTCATTAATTCTTATCCTATAGGCAAGGAAAAGCAATCCTATGATGAAGAGATAAAATTCAAATAACCAATTATTTTCTCTATTCACTATTATTAATTGATTAATAATCGATTATTCAAACAAGAGTAGAATTGTAAATGTTAATCTCATTGGTGACTCTCTTTTGAAGGCCAACAACTGGATTCAAGTGTGGGTGGATGTGGGTTTGGCTGTTTCTCTTTTCGAGTTACACTTATACTCACACTCTCGCTTTGGTCTCATAATTGATCTTTGTTCGAAAATTTTCTCGGCTGTTGTTCTTCTGATTGAAAACTACCGGATAAAATGCTGCACATTCGAATTTTTTTTTTGTATTGAATATCAAATAAATGATTGTTTTCACAGAGGAATATAGAATATGTCTTGTCATTACCCATATCGTTGTGTTGCAGCGACACCCTCACGCAATGTTTTCAATTTCAGCGAATCAGTTGTCGTAGAATTCTACTTCCGAGAGGCAACCATTTTAGTATTTGTTGCATTTGAAACGAACAATCCTGTTTTTTTCTTTTCTCTTCTGCTTCGTTTTGCATCGCAAGTAAAAAATGTAGGATCCTTTTTTAATATTATTTTATCTTCTGTTTGCACAACATCGTCACTTCTCCCAACATGTCTTTCGTGCGAAACAACAAAACAAAAATTTCATGAAATTGCGAGTAAGAAATTTATATGTAGGTGAAACTGAATCTGTTGAACATACATATCTTCTGTTATAGAGATCAAGCATTTACTCAGACGTGAAATTAAGTTAAGATTCATTTTTTAAATCTCAATCTCGATGACGAATACTCAGCAGTCATCATTTCATTTTGTACCTTTAAATGTTAACGAATCAGTTTATGATTAATATTAAGTTTAAGGTTGTCTACTTAACACGTAATTGACATAAAGTTTAGTTTAAACTAGCGAGAACCCGTGCATACTGCACGGCTGTTTTGTCCTTTAACGCATGACCTCAGACATTTAACTTTTCATCCGGTAAAATACATACAGACACTCTATATTATGTATATAGACAGATAGTCCTACGGTCTCATACTCTCATATCGCACATATGTTTATAGGCAATGTAGCCTTCGACCTTATAGCCTTATATTCCTTGCAGTCGGGTGTGGGTGTGGGTGTGTGGTGTGTGATGTGGGTGTGGGTGTAGGTGTGGGTGTGTGATGTGGGTGTGGGTCTGGGTGTGGGTGTGGCTGGGTGTGGGTGTGTGGGTGTGTGGGTGTGGGTGTGGGTGTGGGGTGGGGTGTGAGGGTGTGGGTGTGGATGGGTGTGCGTGTGGGTGGGGGTGTAGAGATCAGTCTTTTTCAGCCCACACCCACACCCTTAAATAATTCAACTTATCCATTCCTAAAATATTTCCTATTCAAAAAAAAACAAAATACCTTCTGTGTACCTTGAACAGGGTTTATTTTAACGTTTTTTATCTGTTTTCTCATAAGTCATTTGATTACAGAAGAAAGATGCCATATTCTTTATCTGTATTCTATCAATAAGATTCGATTTGAATAACTCGATAATTCTACTAATTACAGTAGATTAAATTAATTTTATATGTTAATTTTTTTTAATTCTCACTGATTCAATCGGCTTATCTATTGGTAAGACATAATCAAATCGGAAAGTATAAAAGTGATTTGTTCTAGTAACTAGAAGAAAGGTTTTATTCAATAAATATGTATCTATTTCCAGAGATTAAATATAACTTAAATCATGTAACATCTTATGCAAATTGATAATCTAACAATGGTAGTTAATAAAATCCATTGATTTTCTTATTGATTATATTTACAAAATAAATTATAAGTATTTTACTCGCAATCACTTATTTTATTTTGTTTTATTTTTTTTCATGAAGTGTTAATATGATTACAATTGGAAAAGAAAAAATGAAATCAGGTGAAGACAATTGTGAAATAGACATATATTCTACGGAATAGTTCAACAAATTAAAAAAAATTACATCAGTATGAAAATTTCTTCCGTTTAAATGATTTATTCGAAAATTTCTATATTGATTCAAGAAAGAAAAGTCGAAACTGATATAGAATATAGAAGTCGAAATAAAGGATGGATTTCTATCAGTTTGTTTAAATAAAATAAAAGAAATCTAATCAATGATAGTTTTTATGGAGCGGAGTACGATTGTGCTTATTTAAAATGAAGCATATTAAGAATAAATCAGCATAATAATTATTTAAATAATTGATTTAAAATGAATAAATAGATATGAAAATGTCTGAAGCCGATATAGACTCTTCTCACAAATAAACAATTCGTTTTAGCTAAAATAAAAATACAGAAGATATAAAACGGCACAAGAACTTTTTCTTTAAAGAAATAAATGAGAAAAATTCTACATGGAAATATTTAAAGAGATTATTTTTATGTTGTCGTTTTATTTGTTAGACGAACTGATAAACTGACATATACTAATTATGATAGAAGCAGATATTGTCAATGTAAGGGTATCGATTAATAGTATATCAATCATATTTAGTTTATCCCTAACATATTTATTTAGTCGTTCGAATAATCTATAAATATGTTCAACTATTAATAGAGTATAATTTATATTTAATCATGTTTATCGAGTTATTATTTATCTTAAACCTTATATAAAACGTGATCTATCATTTATAGAATATTGACCAACTATTAAAACCATTTCGAAATCCATTCAAATATTTGTTTTTTGTTTTTTCTTTAAAATTCAATATTCTATCTGATATGTTACTTTTTACTAATGGTAACAAACTCATTGAAACATGTTCTTGTTGCCTAATATATATTTTTATGAAATTATTAAAGACAATTTGAATAATTTTATCTGCACCAATAATTGCAGTTATGTTTTGATTTTGAAATGATCGACCTCTTACATTTATCCACTAAAATTCATAATTACTTAATTCTTGTATTTTCTATATATGACATAACAGAGCGTCATCTTATAAGACTAGTTTATATATATGTCAGCGTCCAAACTGAGATTACGTCCAATCTCAGATTGACCTAGGCGAATGTCGGATCCGAGATTGGACGCGTCCAATCTCGGATTCACGCAATTCTGTTCATTAAAATATCAATTTCACTTTAGACAGACCTTAGATTCGAACTTTTTTTTTTGAGTTATGTTCACACAATGCCAGTTTGTTTGGCACAATTGTCATTTGGCAGATTTGAATAGAATTTTAGGAGTTATGAATAAATTTCTAGAGAACAACAACTTTTGTGAAAAACTTTTATTACATTTTTGAGTCTAAATATAGCTTCTTCCTAAATGCTTGTAATACTTAAAACGGCATTGTGTGAACATAATTTCAAAAAAAAGTTTGACTCCAAGGTCTGTCTAAAGTGTAATTGATATTTTAATGAACAGAATTACGTGAATCCGAGATTGGACGCGTCCAATCTCGGATCCGATATTCGCCTAGGCCAATCTGAGATTGGACGTAATCTCAGTTTGGACGCTGACATATATATTTAATTAATAACCAATCAGCATTTTTGGTAGCTTTGGCTTCGATTTTCACCGACCGACCGTTCATCCATTTATTATTACAATTATTATTGCTCACAGTGAAAATGTCTTATATTATTATTACACCAAAATATATTAAAGTTGGTTGTGATAACCAAATTTTAGTTTCTGTTGCTACTGCATATCAACTAGTTCGAAATTTTCGATCTCGTGCCGGCTCGATAAAAATTACATCATTCGAAAGAGCAGAAAAAACTGAGTATGGTGTGATAATTTTCTCGGAGACGTACTCCCAAGTCCTCAGCAAAATTTTTCAAAATACTTTTCCCAGCAGAAATGGCAAGGATATTTCGTTTTCTCTATAATTCTATGAATCATCGTTCTCTTCAGATCAAGATGAACGTATACGTTCATCTTGATCTGAAGAGAACGATGAAAACGAAAGAACGATGATTCATAGAATTATAGAGAAAACGAAATATCCTTGCCATTTCTGCTGGGAAAAGTATTTTAAAAAATTTTGCTGAGGACTTGGGAGTACCTCTCCGAGAAAATCATCACACCATACTCAGTTTTTTCTGCTCTTTCGAATGATGTAATTTTTATCGAGTCGGCACGAGATCGAAAATTTCGAACCAGTTGATATGGTTCTGATCCAGTAGACATTAAATTTGATTTAATCGTGAATCAACTGCATATTGAAAATAAAATTATATGTACAACAGGTAAAATTTCTTTTCTTTTCAATAAACAAAAGAAAAAATATTTTTCTTTTCCTAGGTGAAACACGTAATGTTATATTAGCTGTTTCAAAAAAATTTCCAATTGGTCTTGGTAAATTAATTATAACTGGTTCTGGTGGTCTTAATTTTGAAGAAAAACGTGATATTATTGTATATGATAATTGTCATGTTATTCTTGTACAAACGTCATCATCAACTTATCGTCCACATGATACAATGGAAATTCGTGTTGTTGTCACTAATGAAAATCTTATTCCAATTGAATATGGTGAACTTATTGTTGAAATTTATGTAAATTTTTATTTATTTATTTTTATTGAAAAATATCTTTTTTGATTGTAGGATGCTGTTTTTAAACTTGTTGGTGAATTTCCAAATGTTCCTATTCATTCAGGTCTTACTAAAGTTCTTCGATATCCACTTGCTGAACATGTTAATGTTGGTACATGGCTTGTTTCAGCTACAATTGGAAATACAACATCATCTATTGAAGTTATTGTCTCATGTCCATTAATACCATCATTTGATGTCAATGCTATTTTTCAACGATTTCTTCTTCGTATAGATGAAACACTTCGTGGTGTTATTAAAATCAATGATGATCATAATGAACCAATATTTGGTCGTGCTATAATTGCTATAGGTGAATTAACTGAACAAGACATTAAATCAAAAATGAAAATGGGATTAAAAGAAGTTAAACCCAAAATCGAAGAATGGTGTAAATGAAAATCACTTCAATTTGAAATAGCTGGTCGTATTGAATTAAATTATGATCTTTTATCATTATTTAATATTGATATAACTAAAGCTATTGATATTCAAGTTTATATTCAAGTAACTGATCTTATTTCTGGTCAAGATCGATTATTCATTACATGATTCCAATCTTTACACATGATATTCTCTATGACATTCGACCACTTGAATTTGAAATTGGTGTTAAAAATGAATTTAAAATTATTGCTAAACGTCCAGATGGTAAACCAATTGAAATGAAAAATATTATTGCTACCGGTACAATGATAATGGATGATGAATATGGTAAAAAACATGTTGAAGAAGTAGTTGAAATTAAAGATTTCTGTAAACGGTATGTTAAATTAAATTGAATAATTTAAAAAAAAACATAATATTCTTTATTTTAGTGATCGTAATGATATCGGTTTCTTCAATCTTGAGATTCCTAAAAATTGTATCGGTGTTCTTATGGCTGTAAGAATTTCGTTATTATTATTATTATTATTATTATTTTCTTTTTTTTTCCTATTTTTATTTTTATTTAGATAACATCATTAGGTGAAGATGGTAAAATGCGTCATTATCGTATACATGCTCTTCCATTTATGCCAAAACGTCGTCGTCATGGTGCTAAATTATCTATTGAACTTTTACCATCAACAGTAGCTACATTTAATACAACTGATACAGATGTTAATGTTCCAGTTATTAGTTCACCAGATTCAACAGCTAGTCGTCCATCAAATTTTTATATTCAATTAATTCCATCAAAATCTGTAGAAAATTTCGAACGATTACTTATGTCATATGTTATTATGACTAATGGTCGTATAACATTTACTGGAAAATTTTATGCTGAATCAATAAAAGAATGTCCAACAACACCACTTTGTTCAATTAAATCAGAAGAAGAAAAACCATTAGTTTGTGTATTTAAAGGTATTTTACCAATTTTAATAACACTTGATATGATGCCATATTCAACATTACTTGTTTACACATTTCAACCAACATTCGATTTTTATGTTGTTGAATCATATCGTTTTTCAGTTGCTGATCTTTTTCAAAGTTCATTAAAATTAAATGCAACAATTGTTCCATTTATGCCAACTGAAAAAATTATTGAAAATGATAGTTTTATGAAAGAAATGAATGTTAAATCAATATATATTTCAAATAAAATACAAGAAAAAACACGTGTTGAACTTTCATTTACTGGTGTACCTGGTTCAACCAGTTGGTCTTAATGTTTTTGAATATGATGCAGTTTTACAAGGTTTATCAAATGAAATAATTAAAGAACGATTATTTAAACATTTAACAACATATGAAGAGCAAATGGTGTTTAATTTAAATTATTTTACTTTAATTTCAATTTTAGAGTTATACAGGTCGTGATTTAATTCGAAAGATGATTTCGGTTGTTAATTCATCGTCATATGATTTATCAGTAGTTGAAGGTGATGATATTTATATAACATCAAATATGGAACAATTTTATGATGATGAACAAATTCGACGACCAATATTATCATCATCCTATAAATTTGGTACATCATTATGGTTTAATAAAATGAATTCAAAATTATATAATATTTCACAAGAAGCATTTACATTTATGCGATCAGGATTAACAATTATTTTTGATTTTGAATGGTTACGTATTCCAAAAGATATAGAATATGAAAATTTATCGAAATTATTTTGGAAATTTGATGAAAAATTAACAATGTTTATGAATGGTTATACATTTAATATTCGTGATGAAGCTCGACAATTACTTGAAGAATATATTATTCAAGCTGATTTATCTATGATTCCACCATCAATTACGCTTAAAGATCAATCTCATATGAGTTATTATCGTTCAGTCTTCTTCAATACAAGTGATATTAAATCTGAAGGTATTGATAAAGTTCTTCTTCCACGAATAAAACCATATTCAATATGGCTTGCAACTGGAATTGCTCTTAATAAAAAATCAGGTTCATCTATTGCTCAACCAATTTATTTACCAAATAATACCGGCCTTTTTGTTCTCGGTAATTGTCCAAAACAAGTTAATATTGATGAACATGCTCTTTTAACATATGGTATTAATAATTATCTTGGTAAAGATTTAACAAATGTTATGCTTCGTATTCGTACTTCATCTGATTTTGAACTTTTTGAAGAATCAAAACCAGAACATGTTGTATCAAGTATTGATAAAAATTATACACTTACAATTCCTTTACTTAAATCATTTGGTGTTGAAACACGTCATATGGTTTTTGTACCAAAACGTACTGGTATTATTCAAATAATCATTGAAGTTGAATCGGAATTTGGTGGTGATTATGAAATTTTAACAATTTTTGTAAATGAATCAAGTATTGAACGTAAACAATTATCAGTACATCTTTTTGATTTAATAAATGAAAAGAAGATTTATAGTCCAATTGTTGAAAAAATAACTCCAACATCAACTCTTTGTTCAGTTCAATTTTATGTCTCAGGTATATTTATTATTATCAAAACATTTTAATTAAGTTTTTTTAAATTTAAATTTAGCTACTGCTTTTAATTATCTTATTAAACGATATACAATAGAAACAAATACATTAGTTGGTATTGATAGTGCTATTGTTTGTCTTTATCGTTTACTTGGTCTTCGTCATTATTTACGTGAAATAATGCAAACTGAATTACCAATCTTTGATATGGCAGCTGATAATATAGGAAAAGCTTATCAAACACTTCAACTTTATAATAATAATGATGGTTCATATTCATTTATATCTGATAAAGGTACACAATATTCATCACTTTATTTAACATCATTAGCATTTGGTGCTATGATTTCGCTAATGATGCCATTTCGTGATAATGTTACACTTAATCGTACATTAAATTGGATATTATCTCATCAAGCAGAAGATGGTTCATTTAATGACAATGATCCATTTTTTCATCATTATGGATTCTATTCTGGTAAATTTAATCGAGAATCATTAACAGCTATTGTTTTATATTCTTTAACACATGATTTTTCATTGAATTCTATGCCAGAATTTATTCATCGTCGTTTATGTTATGGACCAAAGAATGTAATAATGCGTGCTCCACATTATTTAGAAAAACATATTTCAAATGTTAAAGCACATTTATTAACAGCATTATGTCAAATTGCTATCATTCAAAATTTCGATTTGGAAATTGACTTACGTAAAAAAATGTCTCACAGTGTTATAAATACAAAATTAAAAAATGTACAATATGATTCAAAATATGTTCAATGTAATGAAAAAATGACATTTGTTGAAGAACTTTTACTAAATAAAATGATCATGTTACTTTATTTCCATCTTGGTGATTATAAAACAGGCAAAAATATAGCTACCTGGATATTTAATCAAATTCCAGCTGAAAAAAATTATTATAAAATATTAGATGCTGTATTTGGTACTCAAGTTTATCTTCAACTGAATCGTTATATAGGGAAAAATTGTTAAGTGGAAAATTTTTCGATTAAAATTGATGTTTCATCTAATAATGATGAAACAATTTTTTTCGTTAATTCAGAAAATATAAATACAACACAAATATATCAAATAGAATTACCAGTTAATGGAATTATTTATAAAATAAATGGTATTGGTTGTGTATATGTTGTTATTGAGAAAATATATACTGAAGAAGATCAACAAATAGTTAAGTCCATTTACATTAACACAACAACTGAAACCAATGCCATGGCTAAATGGAATCGAACTTAAAACATGTGTAACATATACGCCAAGATTAACAAATCAATTATTAACAACAAATTTAAATAGTATTTTTGTTATTGATACAGAAATTCCATCCGGTAAAAAAAAATTATTTTATTTAAAAAAATAAGCTAAATTTTTTTTAGGTATGTGTCTTACTGATCGTCAAATTGAATTTTTAAGTAAAGTTCAAAATATTTTCAAAATTGAATATAATCCACATCGTAACAAACTGATTTTATTTATTCATATAGCACCAAGACAATTTGGTGAAGCAATATGTTTTAAATGGGCTCTGAAACGATTATCAAATGTTACGATGTGGAAGTCAATTTACATACAAATATATAATTATTTCCAACAAGAAACACGTTTTGTTAAATGTGTTTCAATTGACATAGACCAAAAAGAACTTGGTTATACGTTTCTTGAAGCTGCTCAAAAAGTAAGACTAAATCTTCAAACATAAGCTAAATAGTTCAAATCAAAAACGCGTTTTTTTAATGTTATTTTAGTTTCCTTTTTTTAACCCATTATTTCTTTCGATTAGTGACGTGAACACTGGAATTCTTATACTCAGTTTATTATTTTTCTTTTTTTTTTCTAGAAACTTATTCAAAAAAAAGTACATTTGGGCCTTCAACTTGGATATATTGGAAAAAGGCAGCGTTAAAAAAATTATTGCTGCATTTTAAAAAATCTTTTTTTCTTTTAATAAAAATCAAAAGTTAAACAAGTCTTTTTTTTTTATAATTACATCGAAAAAGAAAAAAATATTAATAGTATTAGATAAAACTGACCTAGAGGGTGTGGGTGTGGATGCGGGGCGTGTATGAATGAAAGTAAGACTATTATGCACACCCACACCCACACCCTTTGTTGAAAATTTTTGAGGACTTAACATAAAAATGGAGAACAAAGGAGTCCCATTTTGTTGATTTATTATAGATTTCAACTGTTTGAAAATTATCATAAATATTATCTCTAATAATATGAGCTGATGTGTATTTCAAACAGAGTCGATTTATAATAACAAGTAACATCAACTTGCTTCTGAATACATTAATACTTTAAAAACAAATCCAATCAAGCTTTTGGTCAGAAGAAAACTGAGGAGAGAAGGGACAGGAGTAGCTTTCACATAAATTTTAAACCATGTACGATTTTTTGCTATATTTCAGCCTCTCAGAATTTTCAAGACAAAGAGGAGCCATGAATTTAAGGGTGTGGGTGTTTTAATGGTTCTTTTGTTTATTGAAACATAATACAAATTGTTGAAATTGTTTAATGTCTTAGACAAGATCACGATGAAAAAATGATCCATGACCATGTGAAATCACATATGGTCATTTTGTTCCTTCCATTTGGAATTGTCAGGCAATATTCGAGTTCGGCAACAACTTTTTGAACAAACCAACAGATGCTTCGCATGAAAGATAACTGTATTCATGATCTATTACATCTACATGCTGTAATGTTTTATCACATGTCACCTGACCTGAAAAACTAATATTTTTCATTTGAAAGGTGAAACGAAGAATCGACAATCGAAATTTCGAAATTAGAATTGGGATAGTATTGTCACATTTCCAGTGCTTTCTAAATTCTTCCGGAACTTCAATAGTAATACACTTCATGTGGTATTTAATAGCTCGAATCTCGGACCATAAAATACCTAATGAAATTTATTATTGTCGAAATTTCGAAGGAATTCAGATAGTGCTGAAAATTAGACAATATTGTCCAAATTCTGATTGTTCATTCTCCAATAAACCATTTGAGAAGAAAGCACCATGGGAATAGTTGACGATGAAGAACGTCCTTGCGACTGAGTAAGAGTTAGTTCAGTTTGAACAATAAATATATCATTTTTGTTTTAACAATCGTAAATGATCGCGATGTTTTTTATTGTTCATATGGAGTCCAACAGACTGCCAGTCTTTATTTCAACAACACAAATCATCGCTTTTACATAATGTGTAGACGAATTGGCACCTTCACTTTGATACAAAATACCCTCAATATCTACTTTTACCAATCATAAAGGGCTAAATTTCGTAGTATAATAAGACATTAGACGAAAAGATAGTTATCCAAAAATGTTTTTCAGTTTAAAACATTTACTAATCTAATGATTCTTCAGTTTAAGCGGCACGAAGGAGGAAAAAGAGGAGATACGTAGAAAAAGGAAGAGAAGAAGGATATACTTAGGAAAAAAGAAGAAAAAGCAGAAGCATTCACATGTCAGAATAAAACTACAAAAAAGGATTTCAATGTTTATTTAGAATCAGCTATTTCACGATATTCTTTTGTTGTACAGGAACAGGGCAATTTTCAAATATTTCTTTTTCAAGCCTTTTCAGCATCGTTCGTGAGAGAAATATTCGTGGATACACATGCCGTCTTATTGAGGAAATAATCGGATTTTCTGAACGATAAAATGAACCCATATAGCGTGCCATATCTACAACACGTTTTGTTCGATTAAAACGTTTTTTATAATATTCTTGAAATGCTGGTTCCATTTGAAAATTATATTTTTCTAAACACATTGCAAGTGATATAGCATCTTCAATTGCCATATTTACTCCTTGTCCAATATGAGGTAATGTTGCATGACATGGATCTCCTAATAAACAAATTCGATTACGATGCCAACCATCATTACGATGTTGACGATAATATAATCCAAAATGAAGTATACGTTGTTTATCTGTTGCTGCTACACATTGATGAATAGGATGTGATTGAGGAAATTTTGTTAAACATTCACTTAATTCTTGTTGATTTTTCATTTTTGTCCATTCAGCATCATCACTTGTTGCAGAGCTGGGCAAAACACTCGAAGTACTCGTACTCGAGTACGATTTTGTTGGTACTCGTACTCGAGAGGTCGGTACTCGTACTGGTACTCGTACTGGTACTCGTACTCGTACTCGTACTCGAGGGGTCGGTACTCGTACTGGTACTCGTACTCGAGAGTGTTGGTACTCGTACACGTACTCGTGCATGTTTTTTCACACGTACTAGAGTTTGAAGTGCTCTAAATGTTGAGGATTGACACGGCTGTTTCTTCGTCCCAAAATATGTCAGCATTTAATGTTGAGATTAATTCAGTGGCAACCTTTAATACCGCTGCAACAGTTTATTCTGCATATCTCTCAATCCCTTTTTTAAGTCGCAGGCGTATCGCTCGGAAGAATGGTATAGCTTTCGATCATCTCTTTGGAGAGTACGATTTCGTCTCGAAAATAGACCGCTGAAAAATCGCTTTTCTTTGATCTCGCTACCAGTTAAATTTGTTTTGATGGTTCCTGTTTCGGTCTTGGTTAGATTTTTTCTTGTCCAGGTCTTGATCCTAGATCCGGTCAAAATTTTTTATTGATTCCGGTCCTAGGTCTGGTTAAAGTTTTCTATTGCTTCTGATCCCGATAATTTGTTTAAGAACAAAAGGTTTCTAGCAAAATTAAGCCTAAACGTTTACATTTTTGCTCGTATTCCCAAATAGTGATAAAGTTCCATTTCGAAATATAGAGAAGTATTCCAACAACACTTAAGAGTTTATAATAGAAATAGTGAAAGAAGGACAAAAAATGTACAATCAGAAGAATGGTTGAATTTCTATCAACCCAAATATGTATATATTGTACGAGTACGCCTATTTAAAAACCTATACATATCATCGAAAAATCTCAGGTGTTGAAATCAGGATCGAGATCAATGAGAGACTCGTATCGGAATGATAAATAAAAATGGCAAATCTACGCATTCTTAGTCGCCATCAAACAAGAAGCATGAAAATCTATAGTCTAGTTCTTCATAAAAAATACACCGGAAGCAGATTAAAAAGCTTTAGGTCCCGTCTGGACCGGTACCGGAATCACTTTGCAATTCCCTACTCGAAAAACTGATTACGAGATGTTCTGAAATAAATATCTGCGATATTATCGATTGTCACAGCTTTATTGCTTTCAACACAAAAAATTAAACATTGAGAAGACAAAAAACGCTCTCATCCGCTTTCGTATATTCAGATAAATAGTATTATATCAGATAAGTACCAGGTGCCTATTTCTGTGCTTCTTCACCGCTTCTTGTCTCGAGTCAAGCGCACAATACGATACTAACTAACTTGTGACATACACCGATCATTGCGGTTAACATCTAGCTAGACAGTCTGTGCGAAAAATTCAAGTGAATGATTGAAAGAAATCCGAGTCAAGTCGGCCTTTTGCCGAGAGCTGCAGTTATTACTAAGTGGTTGTAGGAAATATATCGGGCTTACGGAACTGTCACCTGCGGACACCCTATAACCTAAGATAGCCGAAGAGCAGGGTATTCTTATTCTTCTGAATTTTGAAGATGAACAGAATAGCTGATTTCTTACGCGCTTGATTTAATGTAAAATTACATGCAGTTCTTTTCAACGATTATGTTGCTAAACAGTTGCATACTTTCTCAATGTATCAAAATTTCTTGTTCTCAAGCACGATTTTCGCAGTACTCGTACGCGTACTCGAGGGGTCGGTACTCGTACTCGTACTCGTACTCGTACTCGAAAAAGTCCATACTTGCCCAGCTCTGACTTGTTGTTGGAGGTGTAACTGATGGATAAGTAATAGCCCACATATATTGTCCTTTATTACCAGTTCGGTAACTAAGACAGTGTCTATGACCGAAATATTGTATGAATGTATTTTTTGTTGTTATCATTGGATTAATAGATGTTTGTTGATCGATATTATCTATCATACCATAGAAAAGATTTACTTTTGAATATATTGATTGAGCTGTTGGAGTAAAGATTTGTTTAACAACTGTTGAATGTATTCCATCTGCACCAATAACCATATCAACTTGAACTGGTTTTTGTTCTTTTTCATTGTCAAATGAAATTGTAACACCATCATTATCTTGTTTAATATTAGTCACATTATGAGAATAATGTAAAATACCATTCTTTTCTAAAGGTTCTTTTAAAACATCAACAAGTTCCGAACGAAGAGTACCACCCATAAAATAACCAAATCGTTTACCATAGTCACCTATTCTATCAGATGCAGCTACTATTTCACAATTGTCATTAAGAATTTGCCATTTTAGAAAAGGATGGAGGATTTTTTCGATTTGATCTTTGAAACCAATATGAGCAAGCGACATCTGTCCATTAGGTGTAAGACCAAATGCTGCTCCAACTGTTGGAATAAAATAAGGTGCACGTTCATATAATGAAACGGACATTCCTATTTGTTTTAAAGCATTAGCAACGGTCAAACCACCGATTCCGCCACCAACTATTGCCGCTGAACGAGCTGTTGCCATTACTTATATTGAATTATTTAATATACTCAATAGATTATCTAACAAAGAGAGAGTACATATAAATGATAATAGATTCGAACGTCTAATTGTAAAATCATGCATTTGGACAGATTTTTCGATAGAAAATTATTCTTATGTAATGATTTT